ACCCATGTTGTGGGACTTATAACTAGGGCATAGGGTTAGGAATTTCAGCCTGTACCTTTAACATAAGTCGCAAGGCCAAACGGAGCGCGAAGCCTTCGTCAATGAATCCCCAAGCAAAAAACCACTGCCACATGGCCCTGCTCCTGCCGGGAGCGATGTAGGGACTTGATATGACCTACTTGGAGGTTCATGGGTAGTTATAACTAGGGCTATAAGTAGGGTAGCTATACTTATAACCCATATTGGGGGACTTATAACCCTACTTACAACATGAACCTCCAAATACTACACCTTAAACCCTTCGCCCGTAGTCTGCAAGCCGAAGGTCGGAATCATACGTCCAGCGTGTGCAGGCCTGTTTCGACAAGCGGCTCTGGTTTTCAGGATATGGGAGCTTCCGAAAATAGGGAACCCTAAGCCATAATAGCCCTAATATACTACCCTGAATATTTGGATCCTTATTATAAGGACCCGAAAATGGAGGTACCTGATTTTGGACTCCTTTGAGTGAGGATCCTACCATTTAGGGTACTATTTTTGGGTCCCCTAATTTTCGGAAACTCCCATATTGAGCTGACTGCTCCAGGCCTTTGTAATGAGAGCCTTACTACTAAGGACAAGGCTTGGGGGTCATATACTAGCATGACTGTACGGGGAAACACTCAACTCTAAACCCTAAGCCACACTATGACTACGGATTCAGATCCCCAACATTGGGGTTATGCTGTTGCAGGATTCGGGTTGCGCAATCTGGCCGGCAACCGTGCAACACAGCTCAGAAGATATCCAAAGGCCTCTAAGCAGAGCAAATTAGGTACTGTTTAGATCATGTATTCCTCCTGTACCAGGACCCTCCTTGTGCTCTCAAATGGGGGTATACGGTCCCTAATAGCAGGTATTTGGGGTCTAATAGAGGGTAGAAGGAGGGTCCAGGTAGATTTTACAAACACATTCGGGGTAGACCTTTGGGTTCTGGTATGTGGCATCATCGATCAAAGGGGACCCCTAAACCCCAAAGCCCAAATAATGTTTAGGGTTTAGGGTTTCAGGAGGAGTAAATGAAAGCAACCAGCTCTTGAATGGTGGTTGTAGGCTAGGCTCCATAGGGCTTGTAGGTTCCACTGGCTTTCGGAATCATGGCTTCTCAAACGGGGACAACGCAACTGCTCTCTACCACTCCCCTTTGCTCTATGTCTGTTGGGCCGGCTCTGAGCTCAAATGTCTGGGTGGGGACGTTGGTTCTCAGGTGTTGTCCACAGCCCGTGATTCTGGGTAACGTAGGTACCTGATTACGAAACCTTGGGCCTCTATTAGCTCTGTATATGAATCCTACTATTTCGGGGTTATAGGCCCAGGGTTTCTTAATCAGGTTCCTAAATTAAACCACCCTGCCAGTTAACGGTAGCCATCGGGGACTAGCGTAGGTTTAAGCCTTATTGCGCAAAGTAGTTAACGATTGCGGGGCTCGCTGCCGAGCGCAGATTCCAGGTTTGTCGACCTAGAACCCTCAATCTGTAGAGGCCGATGACCTCAAAACCGAACATTTCCACGGAGCAGGTTGCCCAAAGGACTCAAGGTCAAGGTTTCACGATGAAACTAGGGCTTTCAGTATGGGGAAGACTATCAATAACATTGTCACGTTCCACTCTGTTCCCTAGTCGAAACACAAAGGCCCTCGTAATTAAATGCGGGTTCTTACGTGTTGCCAGCTCCCGAAACCGCAAACCGTTCTAGAGCCCCACAGTTCCTGGAGGCCTAACTAAACTCCGAACACCCCCAGCCCCCAACACCCTGAGCCTTCAACGACCGACATGACACACACCCCTCAAATCCAAAGCTGCCCCAAACCTTAAGCCCTAAACCCTTAAACCCAAAACCCAAACCTTAAACCCGAAACCCTTAAACCCTTAAACCCTAAACCCAGACCTTAAACCCTAAACCTTGAACCCTACAGCAGCCCCATACCCATCTCCCCCCCCAAAGAACAAAGCTTCGGACGCACCTCGCGAAGGCGCACGCTGTAGTTCCTTTGGGCTCCGAGTGCTCCCAGAGGGGTTGTAAGTAGTATAGGGGCCTAAATAAGTAGCTATACAAGTGTGGGGGCTCCTTATTATGATTATCTAGCATACAATTCATTACCCCCAAACCCTATTCTAATTATTAAGGCCCCCATGTTATAAGCTCCTAACTCGAAGGGCCGAAATACCCAAATTGTAAAATACCAAGCACTATGCGAGTGTACTATGCTCTGAATGGTTTTTGATGCTGAAACCCCACTACTGAGAACCCCCAACGCCGAACTGTTGGAAGGACAACCCAGATGACCTCTCGACAAGGAACCCATTGGGTCTCCAAGTACTGTGTTTTCAAGGGGAAAACGAGGGACCCTTAATGGGGACCCCTACCCTATAATGGGCTATGTAATAGATATATAATAGCTATGTTAAGGGTATATACCTAGGGGTCCTTATCAAGGGTCCCTCCTTTTGCCCTTGGAGTGTTCGCAGGCTCTTAGTAGGTGTTTGGATTTGGGCCCCGAAAGTATGTACTTCCATGTTACTGGGACCCTTTGGGGAATATCATTTTCTTCCCAAAACGCTTGAGTTGAAGTCCCAGAGACTCCATTATCCCTTAATTAGGGAATATACCTTAAATCATATTAGGGATCCTACGATAATTTAAGGAACATTCCTTAATTAAGGGATATTGGAGTCTCTTGGCTCACTTTGGGGTTCGCAGAGCTTCAGGGGTTCGGCCCTATGGGATTAAGGAAGCCTGTTCGTTCCACCTGCAATCTGCGAAAGTGCTACTTCGATCCATACATGGGTGGTTGTCAAAGTATGGGTCCCTTCTTAGGTACCATAAATGTTAGGTGCCGTATTATAATGGGTACCCAAAAAGGGACCTAATTTTGACAACCACCCACATGTCTTGTGGATTCCCCAAATAAGCCTTGAGTGTTCCCGAAGCCGAAAACGAAACTTGTACACAAGTACTCTGTCAACCTCCTGAGCCCTACATTCGGCCCTATAGTACTTTCCAGTAACACCCTGAACCACTATAGTCCCCTGAACCCAAAGCGAAGCCCAAAACCCATCCGAGGCGCGCGTTGCTCCTCAAGCCCATGGCAGTGCAGCTCGTGTAGGGCCGATCTCGACCAAGGCATTCGCCTCGATATGACATGAGGGGATCATGAGAGTCTTGTTTAAAGCTCCTTTTTCCAAGAGGCAGCAGTCTGCAGCTTCTAACAAGGCCAGGGTTTAAGGAACAAACCAGAGCCTGAAAGCATGATTTCAACTTTCGGGACTGGGATTTTAGTAAAACTAGAGCTCCGGTCGGGTTTGGGCCCAGGATCTGGAGTTCAGGGTTCGCAGGTGGGGAGAGCGATCCGGGACTCGGAGCCTTATAATTAATCTAGGGGCCTTAATTAATAATAAGAATAGAGTTTTGGGGCCCACTGTACTGCAACTATAACTATAAAAAGGAACCCCCACACTAGTTTAGGTAGTTTTTCGGCCCCTATATGAAGCACCTTCTTAGGAGCTAGGACGAGCCATGCCCGACCAATGTACATGACGTGAGCCCAGAAGATGCGGCAGCTATCCACAGAATGCGGAAGAATAGCAATAGCCTAACCCGTAAGGCGGTGAACTCTCCCGGACGAGGAGCCCCCACCCCCCCCCCCCAACTTGTTGCCTTCTTTGGCCAGGGTCTAGGGCCCAAGGCTTTTAAACTGAAACAGCCGGAAGCACTTCGAGGTCCGACTCGTTGAGGATCTTCCCGCCAAGGTCTTCAACCCTCGCCCTCTAAGCCTTACACGCATCCCCAAACCCTACAAACTAGCAGGTCATGACCCCTTAATTGTAGGGTTTAACCCCTGCAACCTACTCCCAGGTAACGGTAAACCCATGGCTTAGTATAACCCCTACAAAAGTAGGTTTTCGGATGCCTGGTAACGGTATATACACCCATAACTTACCTAACCTCTGTGCCGCGCCACTAGCCATCTGCCAGTCGCCACCGTCACTGACTTCCAGCCGCCTGAATTCTTGCGAGGCTTCGCGGACCCAAACAGTTTAGTCTACAGTAGAAGCCAGAAAGTTGGAAACCGGATTAAGGCCAAATAGTGCTGGTATTCCCTATACATTGCTCAGTGCTCTTAAGGATTGAGGCTATGGGGCTTCCAACCTTTGGGCTTCTACTGTAGGTTTTTGAGTAGCCCTTTTACGGTCAAGGTACACCTTAGGGACCCCTAAGACACACAGGGCGAAAGCGTGCCACTCAGGAACCTAGTATTGCTTCTACACAAGAAGAAAACAACTTGCACATGACCCCTCTCTGAGGAGGTTGAGCGTTAGACTTACGTTTTGAGGTTGAGGGCTCGAGTATAGTTAACCTTCCAAAGTGGCAGCATAACACCGATTCATTGTGCTTTCAAGGATTCTGCACTTCATGGATGCTCTCGCTCAGCCTGGAATCCGGAGAACCCTGATGAACAACAAACCTGGATTCTGTGGACTCTGGCGTTTCGACATGTGCTCAAGACACACAAAGAAAGCCGTTTCACCAAAACACAACAGAACACACGGTTCAAACCCCAAACCCTTATAGCCTTATAAACCCTACATAGGGAGCGTACTTGTGAGACTAGGGTGTTGGGGCTTACCGTTTAGGGTTTAGGACTACTATCTAACTACTCGCTAGCCTAGGGTGTTGGGGTGCATCATAATACGACCACATAGAGAAAATAGTTCGACTCTTCCGACCCCTATATCAGGCAGGCTTGGGATTTGTGATTGCGGACCGTAGGTTCATGATGAAGCCAAAAGCCTCATACGTCGCAAAGTCACCGGGTTGACAGCTTCAGGTTCAATTTCAGTGTTGCCAAGATCTAGCCGAAACAACGAGCTAAGATTTCTGCGAAATCGTCCCTACTACAACCTCCGAGCAAGATTCGCTTCTTTTGTGCGAAAGCAAGCCACTGGTCGGGCAGTGTCAGCCTAAGCTTTATATACATAGAACCTTCGGATACCGTACTCCCCCACTCCTTTCCTGCACCCTAACGTCTGCAAATCGTTCAGATGACGGGCAATCTGAGCGACGTCTTTGCGGCGGACTGCATGATGGAGCATACGTTTGACAGAATCCGATTCAGGCCGAGCGTCCACCAGCATACCGGCAACCTCGGGGTGGCCTCCAGAGACTGCGTGTACCAGAGCTTCGCCACAGGCGGCACCAGCGTCCACAAGCAGGCGAGTGATGTCAGCGTACCCTTTAAATGCGGCATGTACGATAGCAGACTTACCGTTTCGATCGCGCAAGTTCTTGTCAGCGCCAGCATCCAGCAGAAGTCGCGTAATCTCGGTGTGGCCTTCGGAAGCTGCGTGTAGGAGAGCAGACTTACCGTCTAGCCAGACGTCTTTGTAAGCGCCGGCATCCAGCAATAGTCGGGCAATCTCACTGTGGCCTTCTGAGGCTGCGTGTGCGAGAGCTTCAGAGCAGGCAGTGCCAGTGGCGACCAGCAAACGTGCAATCTCAGTGTGCCCTTCGGAGGCTGCGTGTATCAAAGCTGTTTTGCGCTCTCTATCCCGCAAGTCTTCGTCAGCGCCAGCATCCAACAGCAGTCGGGCAACCTCAGTGTGTCCTTCAATGGCTGCATGTAGGAGAGCAGACTTTCCATCTAGATCACACCAGTCTTTGTCAGCACCAGCATCCAACAACAGTCGGACAATCTCAGCGTGACCTTCAGAAGCCGCGTGTAGGAGAGCAGACTTTCCATCTAGGCACACGTCCTTGTCAGCACCAGCATCCAGCAGAATTCCGGCAATCTCAGTGTGTCCCTTAGAGGCTGCGTGTGCGAAAGCTTCATTACATGCGGAACCGGCGGAACCGGCTTCAACCAGCAAACGAGCAATCTCAACGTGGCCGCCAGAGGCTGCGTGTATCAAAGCTTCACCGAGCTCAGCACCAGTCTCGAGCAGCACACGTACGATCTCCGTGTGGCCTGCACTTGCTGCGAGTACCAGTGCTGTCTTTCCTGCTTCATCTTGCAGGTTCTTGTCAGCGCCTGCGTCCAGCAGCAGACGGGCAATCGCCGTGTGGCCTTTACAGGCTGCATGCATCAGGGCCGTCCGGCCATGAACCAGCACGTCCTTGTCGGCTCCTGCATCAACTAGCACACCGGCAATCTCGGTATGGCCCTTGGAGGCTGCATATATCAAGGCGTGTTCATCCAGTGTGTCCGTCCGAGCCCCAGCATCGATCAGCAAGCGAACCAGCTCAATGTGACCACGGGTTGCTGCCCGAGCGAGAGCTGTCCTGCCACCATCGTGAAGGCCTATTCTACTGTAGTAATCCTTGTCAGCACCTGCTTGAAGCAGATGTCGTGCCACCTCAGCACAGCCTCGATCAGCAGCGAACCGCACAAGCTCTTCCCCACAATTGCGTCTCTGACGAGCGCTGACAACACTTGAAAGCACCAATTGCAGCTCGCAGGGTGCAGTGACATGGTCATCATCTTCCAAGCAGGCGCCACCGCATATCAGCCGCTGCAGGGAGAAGGGCATGCTGTGCTCCGTGCGCAAATGACGCTTCAGGTCCCAAACACGGATCTTCTCTCTCGACACAGGAGCTAACTCTTCGCCGGAAGCCAACCAAATCCGCAGCATTGCAGGATCAGTTTGGAGTGTCGTGCATAGGAACAGAGAACCGGTTTAGCTTCGGCAACGGACGTTGACCATGGCTTGTCGGCATGTGATCCACACTTTACGGCCTTAGCTTGCAGCTGTAGGCAGTAGAACTTTGGAGTTTGATATTAAAAAACTTCCGAAGTGTCTCAGACCCTAAACCCTAAACCCAAAGGGCCCTCAAGCCCTTGCCATGTCTTGGAGTTTGATTCGAGAAAAATTTCCCGAAGTGTCTTAGAAAGCCATGCCATGGCTGCGCAACGGTTTTGTGAAGTCTCGGCTGCACCCTAAGGGTCCAGGTACCTAATAATCATATACTCCAAAGTGCTAACCTACATAACTACTACCCTAAAGCCGAGTACCTAATTATTGGGTCCTTTGGACCCTTGGCTGAATCCAACCAATATCCTTTGGACCCTTGGCTGCAGAGCATCTTGAATCCCTGGGAAGCCTCAACCCCTGGAGCCCCGAACTTAGTTGCTGAGTTCATAAGCCCCCCAAAAAGTGCACACTTTTAGTTTTGTAGTGGGTAATATTATCCCCAAGAGTGTAAAGTGTATCCACTTAGCTACTAAGCAATCACTCTACGCACTAAACCCCGTGAGTAACGTGGGGGCCTGAATAATTCGAACAGGCTTCCAGTAAAAGGGTTTATGAGGGATCCATAAGAGGGCTCTGTAGTATGGGGGCCTTAACAATTAGAACGGGGTTTCTTGGGGCCATTATGCCACAATTACAATCGGGAACCCCCCAAGGAGTATATCAAAGTAGCGTTGCTGATTCTTAGTTCTTAAGGCCGTTATAGTACTCCCATAAGACAGACAGGCCCTGAGCCCTACGATAAGCTACGCCAAACGTGAGAAGCCTTTCAGCTTTTGCAAGCTTTCTAGATATCGGATCCACACTATACACCATTCTGGTCGAATGTATTTCTACTGTGATCCAGTGCTAATGGGCAGAACCCATGCAACGATTATGGGTACATGTACTTGCTTGCATGGAATCTCGGAAGCCTAGATCCGAAGCATTCGCCCTGGTCCAAAAAGCTTGCAGGATGCCAAGATGTGGGTGGTTGTCAAAATGATGGTCCCCTTTTGGGTCCTTATTTTAATACGGCACCTAATATTTAGGGTACCCAACAAGGTGCCATAGTTTTGACAACTAACCATGTCAAGCACGAAATGCTGCCGAGAGACCAGTAGCTGAACGAGCACCTGCTTGCCACTGAACTATACCGAAGCGCGGAACCCCTAGACCCTAAACGCTTCCAGATCCGAAAAAGTAAGACTCCTGACAAAAATCTCCCAGGTTTCTAAATATTCCATCCGGTTCAACGTTCCAAGGCCAACCGGAGACGCCACCATAGCACAAAAGCTGTGAAACCTTCACACTACGAATCTGAGACTCCTTTAGCAGGGCTTTCTGAATGCGAAATCAAAGTTTCCATGATGGAACAAGCCTTCCTACAAAACCGACTGACTTTTGACTCTGTTGGTAGGTCGCCAACAGTGCCCGGTGGCTTGTATTGCCGGCTCGTCTTCGTGACATCCGGTCGTGAACAGAAACAGAATACCAAGAAAGGCTTACGAGGTTCTTTATTTTGATAAAACATCAGACTAGACCCGGCTAGTCTGATGTTTGCTACAGGCTTACCGGAAAGCGCACAACCCTGAACCATCCTAACCCGAAGCCCAACACCCCAAATTCCTCCACCCGAAGACGTGGAGTCTCTTCCAGATCGGGTTTCCATTCTTGGTCTTCTTTCATCAGGCTCGTGATTTCGAGTTGTTGTTGGGGTTTCTGTTTACGACTCTCCTGTATCGTATACATATGAGAGTCTCCGGAAATTAGGGGTACCTTATTTTGGGGGTCCTTATAACAAGGATCCTACTATTTAGGGTACTATATGAGGGTCCCTTATTCTTGGAAACTGCCATATGAGTCATGTGAGGCTTAATGTTCCGACAACTGTATAGGTGTCAACAGCAGATGGGTCATGTAAGCAACGCTGCCCCGGCCACGCCTCCTAACTGATACACTAATGCTACTGCATCTCTTTGGAAAAGGATGCTACCTGCAACACCACAAATTCCCAATGTAGTCGCAATAAGAACCTACACCCTCAAGCCAAGACCCTAAGGTAGGAACCTGATTAAGAAACCCTGGGCCTACAACCCCAACATAGTAGGGTTCATATTATAAGTAACCCCAAATAAGGCCCAAGGTTTCTGAATCAGGTTCCTGCACTATAGAACCCCTTATAGTACCCTTATAGACTGAAAGACGCCTTATAGTAATCCCTATAGGAACCCTTTAAAAGGAACCCTTAAGGATCCGATAAGTTCCTACATTACACCTCCAACCCTAAACCCTAACCGCAAGATCCAAGGCGCCGTGGTCGGACTCCGCTGAGATACTCGGTCAGACGCCATTCCACATGGAGCTGGCCTGGGCTCGGTGATCAGACGGGGGTTTAGGGTTAGGGGGGGTTTAGGGCTTCGGGTGTTTAGGGGTTTAGGGTTTAGGGTTTTGACGGATTAGGGTCTTTAGGGCTCTGTGATGCCCTGCATTCGAGGCGGAATGTAGGGGCCTGCATAATTACCAATACTATTTTGGGGGTTCCCGTTTCTAATTATAGTATAATGGGTCCCAAAAGCCTACTCTAACTATCAAGGGAAGGCGCCTATATTACGAATGTAGTGGCTGGAATACATGGGCTGTAGACTTCAAACTGTCCATGCACTAACTAAGGGGTATAATTATGAGCTTTGACTTCAGGGCGTTGGCATGGGGTGTTACATGCAGGCTGTAAGGCTTTGACTTCGGGTTCGATCATCAAACCCCGAAAAAGTCGCGCATAGAACCAGAACCGTATAGACAACCCATATGCAGCCTGTAACAACAGCACATACTTCGGGGCTTGATCTGCTGTTGCTCCCCGAGCAATGCTTGCTAAAGCCAGGTCGGGATGACATGCGAATTTAGAGAACAAGCCCTGAACTATAACCTCTAATATAAGCTCCATTCGAAGGCCTGCTTCATATGGGTATAGAGTCGAACATCAATGTCGCACTACGTGGTTTCATGCAGCTACTCAAGGGCTTCAGACGATTGGAGTCTCCTAGCTGGGCTCCTTTAACCCCTACCTGCAGTCTCCGTTGTGATTCCCTTCTTGGATTACATTACCGTATAGGATTCTAAAACACTGGTTTAACAAAATAAGGAACTACAGTTGAGACTATAGGTAGTGGTACCATTACACAATAAAGAGGTGAGAATACAAGAGTGAGAGAGCAGGAGAAGAGATGGGAGGAGTCAGGAGGAGAAATTAGAAGGATACATCAGCAGGAGTCAGAAGGAAGGAGAGATTGGAGAAACGGAGGAAGAGATCAACAGGAGAGATCAGGAGGAGAGATGAGGAGGAAAACAAAAGGAAAATGGGCGCTCAGGCTAGGATGACATCTGCTGGGTCTTTCCAGAAAACTATAGCCCTAGCAAACTCCACATGCCCCCCGTCCCCCCAACACCTGAGACAAATTCGTCCTAACCCGCCGCTCCAAGGGCTTAGCACGATCCCGCCACAGTGTCGCCCAGTGCACATTGTCTTCCCGCTACAGTCATGTGCATGTTCTTGCTCTCGCCACAGTTGCTTGGTTTTTGGCCACACGTTTTTCCGCCTCCCAAGCACCAGCGGAGGCATCAAAAGTGTAAGTGTGGAGCTCAACAGAAAGCCCACTGAACCCTAAAATTTACTGCAACCTCCCAGACAGAACCAAAAGCTTCAGCTGAAGGTGCCTGGAGCAGGAGAGTCCACGTGGGTCAGAACCGGAGCCTGCAGAAGTATTCAGGATCTTTACGATTCAGACTTCAAGCCTTTCGCTTTGGAGCGTGTCAACTAGGTTGAATTATAGGGAATGGACTTCACACGGGGCATAGGACTTGGCCTTGCGTTACATTTGGTTTGTCTGTGAATGTTTTCGGCCTCGAGCTTGAGATTAGGAGCTTACCTACAGTCTCCATTGTAGTTCTTTTTTTGGTTAACCAAAATCCCCATTATAGGATACTAACCATAAAACTGGTTAACCAAAAAAAGGAACTACAATGGAGACTATAGGTAGCGGTAACAATTGCACTTATTGATCTGCCGAGCTGCTGAAGCTTCGCACAGATCCTAGCCCCAAGATCCAAGAGACCCAGCCTTAAGAGCTGTGAACAATAGGAGCACTAAAAATACACCCTGAGAGCCCTAAAGCCCTGAAACTTCAGATCTCTGAAGCCTAAACCCTACGAGCCCGAAATAAAGTCCTACGGCCTTTCTACACTACCTATATCATTGTTTGGTTATACAAATCATACACTTACGTTCACTGTAAAGCAACCCCAAAACGGAACTGCAATGGAAATGGGGGCCTTCAGCAATGGAATAGGGTTTTGGGGGTATAATGCCGCACAATTGTAATAAGGAGCACCCCCAAAAAGTATCTCGCAGTTATTGAAGCCCAAATACCTAAACCCCCGAATAAAACCCTTGTAGAAATCCCGTTGCAGGAGCCCGTTAAAGGAAGCCTATTCTAAAGTACAATGGACACTATCCCTACAGTCTCCATTGCAATTCCTGTTTAGGTTTAACCAAACGTGTATAATGGGACCCTGACCATATTTTTTGGATCAGACAAGGACTACAATGGGGACTATAGGTTCCTGAGTAACCCGTTGATAGTAAGGTATCCTTTTTCCTACTACTCGGTTTCAATAAGTGTACCCAACACAACAAGGGTCCAACACAACAAGGGTAAAAGGGTACTACGCACGAACCGAGTAAACCCTACACACCCATAGATCCTTTATAGAACCCTTGAGGAGCCCAAGAAGGATTCGATTAAGGGTACTACTCAGGAACCTATAGCTACAGGTATCATCATCATCAGGCCCACGAAAGCCGGCCTTGGCAGGCGCCAGGGCCTCGTGGCAATGCCTGGCAA